GAGCACAAGAGTAGGATGAGAGCGGGCGAGGCAGATTTAAGTCAAGTTGCAAGCCACCGTTCGCACAGCTCGGCATCACACGACGGGGAGGGGACCCTGGGGTTCTTAGCTTCTTCTGTCGGTCCATGAGGTACAGTGGACCTCTGAGCCGGCCGCCAGCATTCGCGAAGGCCAGCTAGAACCGACTCAAGCAGAATAGACAGTACCGGGGCAGAAAAGCATCTTCACCGGCGGTTGGACCAGTGAGAAGGCGGATTATCCCAGAAAAATTCCGGGGCTATGAAGGAGGGTGGATGATGACCAGGGCAGCCCGAAAGCCGTGTGCTGATCCTAGACGCAGACTGTCTCGAACGGATGAGGCTGGGTGACGCAACACCGTATGATGAAATGCATGGACTGAGCAGCCATGCAGATGCAGCGTGCATGTGGAGACATGGACGGGCGAGCAAAGAGCGGGACTATCTACAGGAGGCTTGCTTACAAGGCTGGCGACATGCGCCAGTGGAGGAGCCAAGCTGCATTTGACGGAAACGAGGCTTCAATTTGATGGACCGCCACAAAAGGCTGATACCAGCTGCACAATGTTCTGCGCAGACTGCTATTCCGGATCCATTGGCCTATTGGGTACCGAGGGAACAGCTCTTTGAATGCATTGTTTTTTTTTTTCAAGAAACACAGCTCCAGTTTTCGACAGGGCAGAGTTGGATTGCTGGAACACTGCGGGGTGTTCCTGCTGCAGAACCGGATACATGTCAATATCTTTCGCGGGCAGACATGGCGCATGTCCGGGTGGTGTAGATTCTGGCAGTGGCTGGATAAGACGCCAATGGCATTGGCTGGAAACTCAATGGATCAATTGATGGTTTCACATCAAGAGCCCATGTTTGGCCATTTCGTCGCAACACAAATCGAAAGCGCCGAGAGGACCAAGAGACCAAGACCCGGTCCTCCGCCGCAAAAAACGCGGGGGGGATTAGCCAGCAGCCATCCGGTGGCGGACTTTTATTATTTCCTCCCAAAAACTTCTACGACCGTCTAAGCATGGGGTGAAACGAAACACAGTGGTGCCGCCCCATTCTGTTGCCCCTTCTCACAACCATAGCATTGTGAGCGACATGATCAATGTGAGGGGGAGGCGGCGCCACTGAAGACTACTCGACTTCAAGCTCATCGTAAGGGCCATGGATGGTTGGCCAGAAATATCAATATTTCTATACCGAAAGACGACATGTTCGGCATTCGGTGTCTGCGCGGAGTCTTTGAAGTGCGGTCCAAAACGAGGGGCTGCCAGATCAGAGTGGCAGTGTTCTCGTGTCTATTGCTAAGGGTGGTAGGAATGGTAATTACCAAAACTCGGCGGGTGGATGGATGAGTTGCAGAAAAAAAGGAATGAACGACATGTCCGAGCTAGTTTGAAGGACGGCATTTGCCCATTGCCCGATGGGTAAAATCAACCATGTATCCTCGAATCTTGGATATACAGATTCAACAGGTTGCCGACGTGTTGCTGTGCAATCTCAAAGCCCCTCACGCCAACCCATGATCTGAGGAGTGCATGGGGCCTGGGGGTCCTGCCAAGAGAACGACGAGGGGATACGGAGTGGTCAGGATCGCTTCAACATGATCCAAGCGGCTGAATCTCCTTGAGGCGTAGCCATGAGCTGATGTTTTGAATACAGAAGACTCTGCCGCGCTAGACCTGAATATGGTTCCAAAACAATCGATGGCTTAATCCAAGCAGTTGGTCGAGTTGCTAGTGTGCAACTACCGCCAGACAAATTGACGACAATATTTCCTGGACTCAGCCTACACGGTAGGATCCCTACTTTTTGCCTTGTTTCCTAACCGGCTTGAATCGCAACACATTTCCAACATCATGCCATGCAAAACTTTCGCTTCGACAGACCGCAAACGGCAACCCAATCTACATTGTACCAAGAAGCAATGACGTCGTTGTGCCCCTCTCTTCCCCACCAAACCCGACTGAGCAGAAACGCAAAAAATGGAAAAAGCAAGAAGAATTCACTCGAGACAGGTGGCTTCACCGCCCTCAGAGTGGATGTTGTCGTCGTCGGCACAACTCACAATTCACAATTCGTAACAGGATCCACCGGGATGCCCCCCGATGGCCCCATATGCAGCCGAACTTCCAACCTTGGATTGCCGCGGTGGGCGTGATAAGGTCAACGCGAGTCAATCAATACTAGCACTATGTAGTACTTTGTGAAAAGCCGCCAAGCCGTGACATGACGGACTTTGGAGTAGAGTGTTGGATGCATTGATGGTGTCTCACGGGGAGCCGGTTGCTTGGTGGCCACCGCGGAGCCCACCATTGAATTGACGGCTGAATTCGCCTTCCCAGCCATCGAGCCACCGCTTTCCAGCTTCCAAGGATGTTGCTGGCTCACTTGCAGGTGAGTTTGTTCATGTTGGCGCAAGACGGACAAGACAAGGGTTCTGCCCCGAGAATTGTATGTCGCACGTGGGGGACTGATGGCTGCATCAGTACATACATACACACAGCCATCAATCAATTGATAGCAAGCGCGAAAGCTGGCAGTGCCACCAGCGGACCCGTCGGCGGCACCGCAGTGTGAGGCGCGGCGCGACACCGTAAGAGCCAACCGACGGACGGCTTCGGACATTTCGGCGTCTTGGGGCGGCGTGGGCGTCTCGGCGAGAGCTCGACCTGCGACACCATGGATCCACCCGCTCTTGCCCACTTCGCGCGGATCGTCGTTTCCTAGAATCCTCACCATGGCATCACCACTCCCATTCTCACTGACGTCCTGCCAATCCATCTACTCCGTGCAGGTGTTTCTTGGTAGACATCACCAACACTGTGCATCTTGACAGGAGCTGGGTTCACTTTTGCAGCTAACACCACACACTGCAGCTCGCATACGAAAGACACAGCTTAAAGAGCCGCTAGAGCCTCCAGAGCTTAAGGGCTTCAAAAGCTTCAAGAGCTTCCGAGGTCCACAGCTTCCTTTGAACCGCCATCATGACATTCGCAGCCGAGATTCACACCTTCCACTCCGGCAGCCCACAGCCTCAAACCTCCTCTTCCTCGTCGACATTCAAATCCATCGACCCGACCACCGGCGAGCCTCTCGCAACCATCTACACCACCACTCCTGCGCAGCTCAATGACGCCGTCGCCGCTGCGCGAGCAGCTTTCCCCGTCTGGTCGCAGACCCCAGCACCCAAGCGAGCTGCCATTCTCCTCCGCGCTGCTGCTCTCCTGCGCGAGCGCAACGACGCACTCGCCCTGACCGAGACTCTCGACACGGGCAAGGCCTGGTGTGAGACGTCCACTGTCGACGTAGTCACTGGTGCCGATGTCCTCGAGTACTACGCCCAGTTCATTGCTGGTGGCCTTCCCGGCCAGCATACCCGCCTCCGCCAGGATGCATATATTCTGACGACTCACGAGCCACTGGGTGTTTGTGCGGGCATTGGTGCGTGGAATTATCCAATTCAGATTGCGCTGTGGAAGTCGGCAGCTTGCTTGGCCGCCGGCAACTGCATGGTATACAAGCCCAGCGAGGTTACGCCTCTGCACGGAAACACCCTGGCACAGATTTACGTCGAGGCCGGTTTGCCCGCTGGCGTGTTCAATGTTGTCTACGGCGATGGTCCCGCCGTTGGCGCGCCGCTGGTTGCCCACCCCGACATTGCCAAGGTGAGCTTCACCGGCCAGGTCAGCACCGGCAGCAAGGTAGCCAGCGAGGCTGTCAAGAGCATGAAGAGCGTCACCATGGAACTCGGCGGCAAGAGTCCCGTTGTGATTCTCCCCGACGCCGATGTCGACGAAGCGGCTGACGTCGCCATGGCCGCCAACTTCTTCTCCACCGGTCAAGTCTGCACCAACGGCACCCGCGTCTTTGTTCCAGACACCTTGCTCGCCGCCGTCGAAAAGGCCCTTGTCCATCGCTGCCGCGAAGGCATACGCATGGGCCTGCCCCGCGATGAAAAGACAAACTTCGGCCCCGTCGTCAGCGCCGCCCAACGCGACAAGATCAACATGTACATCAAGCATGGCAAGGACGTTGACCGCGCCAAGGTCCTCTACGACGGCTCTGTCGATGCCCAAAAGGACAAGCCCACCCCGGGCGGTTTCTGGGTCCCCCCAGTCATCTTCACCAACTGCACCGACAACATGCGGGTGGCTCGTGAGGAAATCTTTGGTCCTGTAATGTGCGTCCTGCCGTACAAGGTGGCGGGTAAGTCTCGGGAGGACTGGGTGGCAGAGGTGGTTCGACGAGCAAACGACACGCCCATGGGTCTTGCTGCTGGTGTGGTGTCGAGTGATGTTGGTCTTGCGCAGGACGTGCTGAGACAGCTGGATGCGGGCATCACCTGGATTAATACGTGGGGTGAGTCACCGGCGGAAATGCCTGTGGGAGGATGGAAGATGAGTGGTATCGGATTGGAGAATGGGCACGAAGGCATCCAGGCGTATATGAGAGTCAAGAGTACCTTGGTGCAATTGGGCAAGGGCGCCTGCAAAGGGATGTTTGCCAAGTTGTAATGAGTATTGGTAAAGGAGAATCGGGAATGAAATGGAAATTTGGAGGACGTGTTTAGCGAATTGCGTAGTCAATTTTGTATATGAAGCCACTCGTCTAGTCTTTGTATCTACGGTGCATTCTGATGGAATTGTAGTGCAGGCCAGCGCAATGCATGGCTGTTGTGTTATCAACTGGTAAACCAGAATCAGGTCAATCTGGACAAAATCCTTGGATGGGCCCTTGTACATGACACACGTATGGAGTATTTCACCACAATCACAGTACGAGAAATTTATTTTAAAAAAAAGGTGCTCTAATATCCTTGGATGAAGGCACAACTCTCCGAAAACAGTGTCCAGCGCCGGTAGTCCTCCTTTCCTCTTCCCTCGTCTATGGCATCTACCCTACAACGTCGCAGTCTCCAGCAAAGTCCTCGACTCTCCAGCCCCCAGGCTTCTTTCTCGATTCAACAAAACGCCTAACGATTTATTTGTTCCGCTGGATCAAATCCCACTGGTTGCCGTACAGATCCCTCCAAACGCCCACCTTTCCATAATCCTGCACGACCGGCTCCCTCACCCACTCCACGCCCGCCTGGCTCATGCTCCTGTAGTCCCTGTCAAAGTCGTCCGTCTCGAGGAACAGAAAGACCCGGCCGCCGGACTGGTTCCCCACGGCGGCGAGCTGCTCCTCCGTGTTGGCCTTCTGCAGGACAATGGTGGCGGCGTCGGGGCCCGCGCCGGGAGGGCGCATGGTGACCCAGCGTTTGGACTGGGCGGGGACGAACCTGTCCTCCACCAGGGTGAAGTGTAGCTTCCTGTAGAAGGATATGGCTTCGTCGTAGTCTCTGACCACGAGGGCTACGTGGGCGATGTGGCACCTCATGGTTGTTGGCGGTGCGTCCGAGGGGTTTTTTTTGGGGTTGCGAGGAAGAGTTGTGGGTGAGAAGTTGGAAGTTGGGCTTGCCGTGGTTGGATATGCTACTTGCGTCATTTACATAAGCGTCGACGGTGAGTCCACCACGATTTTGCAAGGTTGCGCTGGGGTTTTGTTTGGTTTGTCGAGCTTTGTGAGTGTTGGAGGATTTCCGGGACACGTCTCTCATTGGGACATTGAGCTCACGCGGTGGACTCTGACCAGCCGAGTTGCCATTTGGTGTTATGACAAGACTCGAATCCAATGCATCAACCTCTGGCATCTCAGAGTCGCAGGCACTGCAGTCTGTGATTAGGGGGCCGACTTTCTTTACAGGGCAGCTGGGAGGTTTCATTTGATCGGATTCCCAGCAAAGTCCGTGGCTGCCGACCAATGTCGAGCTTCTTGCTCGCATGCAACTACGTAGGCAACCATGTGTGCGGAAGAAGCATGAGAAGACTATAGAGATATACATAGAAACATATATACTTGGGAAGTGTCAGCCAGGTGTTCACTTCCACTGGCAAGTGAGTGCCCATTAGTGATTCTCTGTAACTGCTTAAATATGCGCACAAAACGAAATTTTAAAAAAAAGAAGCAGCCTCTCTGCATCGCTCACAGGGGAACAGGCAGGTTTCTCTGCATATATCCCCTCCACTTCGGCAACGTTCTCGCATACTGCGTACCCTTGGTCAGGTCTTCAATAGCACTGCCCCATCTCACGAGCTCCTCTTCCGCCCAGGCCGTGTGCAAAATAGCCAAGCCATAGCCCATGCCCGACTCTTCGTCGATGCCCGCAGGCACCGTGATAGCCGGGTAGCCAGCTTGAGCCGAAATCTGATAGCTCTGGGCAACATTAGAGGGGACCAAGAGCCCGCTCAGCATCTTGTTCTCGTAGCGGAGGGCGTCGTTGATGCCGCCACGGGTAGTGGACTGGCAAAAATTGAGTGCCTGCCAGTACGTCTCGTCCTGGATGCCCTTCGTTTCGAGGGATGCCAGGAACCCGTCCTGGCCGGAGAACCATGCCGGGTTACCCAGGGGCCAGGGGTTGCCGCCTTGGCTGCCGTCATTGTCCAGGTTGTACTTGACGATGTCGTCGATGGTACGGATGTTTGTGTTGCTGAGTTTGGCGAGGTACTTGTTGATGTTGTTGTAGAAGTCGACCTTGACGTAGGTGTACTCTGACTCGTTGGGGAAGCCACGCGTGGTGCCGTAGTCCCAGTTCCACCCGTCAGGGGAGACGATGGTTTCGTAGTTTGTAATTTCGGTGTTGTTAACGATGGTGGCGCCAGCGTCTTCAATGAGCTTGACGAGAGACACCAAGGTACGCTGGTGCTCGGCACTGGCATGTACCCAGAAGCTATTCCAGGGAATACCAAAGGTGGCATTCTTAAGGGTTTCTTTGGTGGTGAGAAATTGAGCATAGCCTCTCTTGGGAGTCTTGCCCCTCTGCGCAGTTGTGTAGTTATCATGGCAGTCGACGCCGTAGATGGCATCGAGTGCGTAGACGGCGTCGCGGACAGTGCGACCGAATGTGCCAACTGAGTCCTGGTGTTCTGTTTCAGGAATGACACCGCCGCGCGACGTGAGGCCGACGGTGGGCTTGAAACCTACGATGGAGTTTCTCATGGCAGGGTTGATGACTGCGTCTGTTAGACTGGTATCCTTCAATCGTTTATACAGCACCAGCCGTCGGGAGCAGGCAAAATTAATGGCATTGGGCGTCACAAAGGGTAGACTCACCACTGCCATCCGTCTCAGTTCCCAAGGAGAAAGCAATGCAGTTGGCAGCAACACCAACACCGCTGCCAGAAGAGCTGCCTCCAGGGTTCACGGTGAAGTTGTACGCGCTCCTGCATTGTCCACCACGCCCAGAGTATCCCTCGGAGTAGTTGTTGCTTCGCATGTCTGCCCACTCACTGAGGGTGGCTTTTCCAAACAGCACAGCGCCGGCTTTGCGCAGCTTGGCAACAACATAAGCATCACGGGGTACTCGGCTACCGAGCAAGGCCCAGCTACCGGCGGTGGTTTCAAGGTTGTCCTTGGTTCCAATATTGTCCTTGACAGTGAAGGGAATTCCGTGCAAAGGGCCACGGACCTTGCCCTGCCGACGCTCGTCGTCGAGCTGTGCGGCGATGGCGAGTGCATCGGGGTTGATTTGCATCACAGAGCTGCCAAATCATGTCAGCCTTTTGTAATTCTTGCTTGGCAAGACATGAATGACGCCTTCAGATATATAAAAGTTGGCAGGCAAATGAAGAAAAAAATGCGGCGACCTACTTGATATACTGCTGTGTCTGGAACGTCCGCGTCATGTAACAAGTAACCAGCTTCACGCTCGTCAGGGTCCCATTCCGCATGGCCTCTTGCATGCCATCAATTGTAGCCTCCTCGAGATTGAAGCCAAAGCAGTCCCCCATAGGGAACAGCTTATCCGTGCCAGCATTCTCCTGTAACGGAACCAAGTTGGGCGTGAATTCGAACACACCGTCTGCACTTGTGGCTGAAGCTCCCGCAGCCGCGGCCAAGAGTGAGACCACAGCAGATCGCATCTCGATTAGATTTTGGCGTAGCCACACCCCACGAATCTGATAAATATTTCGATGGAACGCCCTGACAATTCCCGCAATCCGTGCGCCGATGAGAGTCTTCCGAAAGAAGAAATGGTGGCGCCGACCCAACCTGGAGTCCTAGCGCAATTCTGGGAGAAGGTCGATGGCAATGGAAAGAAGGGGGAGGAAAGAATAAAAATACGTACTTGACAAGAGAGGTCAGCTCCGGAGCGGCTGGATGCGAAACTTGGACAGATTCGACGAGCGCGCCAACAAGACGGTAATATTGCCTTGGACGATGCCTCCATGGCGGACCACATGCAATCAAGCCATTTCCACATCAAGCAAGGCGTATTTACTCATCTCGAACTTCGCAGGATGTCCGGAGCAGGGTTCCTTCCCCGTTTGTTCACAAGTCATGGCATCTCAAATCATTGGACCCGACTCTTGCAGGGCCAAGAGCTCTCTACTACTAGAGCGCACGAGTGCAACCAGATGCAGGCAAGCCATATGGCAAATTGGATGTACTAGCCCGAAATTCCCGGCCTCATTCATTGGGTTAGGCTCCATCCAGTTCATGTGAGGAGGTCCACGCGTCCAAGGTGGACTGTTGCCATGGATAGGCCTGTTGTTCATGGCCTTGCTGACGGCCAAATTGAGGATAGTTGCTTTCAACGTCGGGTGAATTGCTCATGTCGGTGGGCTCACTCTTTTTGCCAGGTGCGCTCACGCGCCAGTCTCGCCTCACCAGTACCTGGCTATCAGAATTCATACTTGTATGAACAATAATTATAATACCAGACATTAGTATATATATTATAACAGGTAAATATATTTTACTATAACTTTCTTAAATATATATATAAGGAGAGTTTAAATACAATAAATACCCAAGTAGTAGGTAGTAGGGGGCTAAGCGCACCCAACAAAAAGAGTGAGCCCACCGAGCAATTCTCACACACACACAAAAAAAGGTCGCTTGCCGCGGTACCGCATACATGCAAACCGTCCAGGGGTGGGAGGGGAAGAGCCGCCTGGCGCATTGAAAGGACGTAGCGGCCGGAAATGGCGACTCCCGCATGCATGATTGGCCCATCTACAATTTAAACCCTGAATGGTTAGCCAGGTGTGACATGATAAGGCGGGTTACGGCCAATTAAAGGGAATTTTATTATGAGGAGCATGTGGGGGGAGGAAGTACCTGATAAACCGATGAATTAATTCCTCGTGTCAAATCCACCGTCGTTTCCCGACACGGGGTCGTAGGCTTTGTCGGCTTCTTTGGACAGACGAAGGATTCCAAATCTCCACTTGGGAAGGCAACAGAATAGTACATAATTACTGCATTTTGGAGAGGCCCAAAGTGCATTTGCCACGGTCCTGAAATTGGTGTCTTTGAACCAGTGCCATGTACCCTATGTATTGAATCCTGCACATCGTGGCCTGTCTGATCGTCTGATCCGACTCGAGTCAGTCACAAAAAAATATGAAGGATTGTGTCAAAGCGAGAACTGACACACACCCTAATCTAAGATGAAGCATTTTTTGCGTTTTTCGAACCGTTGTCTTTATATCAAACAGTTGGTCAGGTTCCTGGAAATGTTTTAAGCCAAGGGCGCGTGTTGCGTCTGCAGATATACATTTCTTCGGCCAAGATGGAGATTGTCCAACTGCCGGCCCGTGTTCTTCCTACTCTAAATTACAAGTTGCCATAACTCCTTACACTGTAAAAAAAAAAACCATGCGCTTATTCCCTTTCTCTAGATATAGATTAGACTTTGCTTTTTTGCCCCTTTTGAAAATTCACCGTCGTAGCTCAATATTGTACATATTTCCCATCTGATTGCTGACCAGGGTGGCCAGGATGACCCGTTTCCAACTGACCTTCCTTGACATCAAAATCGACTCTTACAAAAATGCCATCCGCCTCAGTCTGACTGTGGCCGTCATGTTGTGAAATGGCATGGACTTCGTTTCCATATGCCGCCGTATTCTCCTGACTAGAGAGCATGCTATGCTGCGAGCGTAATCGAAATGTACTTAGTGCTGTGCCTCTGGACCGTTTACTCGTCGCGCTTCGGTTGTACTTGGAGTTGCCGGACTCGGTATAAACGGTAGTGTTAAGGACATATTTATCAAAGATGGGCTTGATGCCAGGGATCGAGAGGGCGATGAGAGTGGCGCCGATTTCAGAAGTTTCAACGGCGAGCATAGGATTGTAGCTCCAAGACTAAGACATGTTAGCCCTGTAAACAAGTTCAATGTCGGTGCAAATCAGAGCGACGGCATACCATGTCAGCTTCCCACTGTCCCTTGATGACGAGAACCAGACGGGTAATCGAAATGCCAACAACGCTAAAGGCCCTTAGTATCACAGCCGTTTACCCGCATCAGACGTAGGACTTACCCCAAACCGGG